TCTCCGAAGCTGTGATTATTCATTCTCAGCTAATTGGAGCCCTTCATTGTGAATATAAATGAATAAAATAGAGAGCAAAGTTTTTTTTTTATGTCTAAAAGTGAGGATAATATCAAATTCCTATTAAAAAAAAAAAAGATATGCAGATTTAGAATCATATAAAAGAAACTCATGCCAATGGAGTGTGCTTTAATACTCAAGAAGAGATTTCTAAGGATGTCATTTTCTACTACTTTGATCTTTTTAATAACTCTTATATTTGGAATAATGCTGATGGTTTTCCAGTTACTAGGTCTCTTGAGAATGTTTTAGATTATGATCTTATTAAAATTTTTCAAATTTTGAAGTTAAAAATGCCTTCTTCTCCGTTGGATCTCATAAAACTCGGGGACCGGATGGTTTTACTTCAAAATTCTTTAAAAAACCTGTTTTATTATAGGGAGTGACTGTATTTCTGCAGTAAAACATTTCTTTTAATCTTCCAAGCTCCCTTTTAGAAAAAATCATACAGCTATCACTTTGATCCATAAACATAATCAAGTTCATATTTTTACTGATTTCAAACCTAAATCCTTATGTAATACTGTTTATAAAATCATCTAAGCTTCTAGCAAATAAACTTAAAAAGTATTATCATCCTTAATTAATTCGACCCAAGTTGCCTTAATAGAAGGTAGAGACATTGTAGAGAATATCATTCTAGCACATTAGCTTTTGTGTTAAAATTAATATAAGAAAGATTTTGATAAGGTAAATCGACAATTGTTATTGATAGACTGTTTAAGATGGGTTTCCTTCAAAATACATTCAATGGATTAGATGATGTATATTAAAAGTTCATTTTCCAGTCATTGTGAATAATGAACTGAAGGGTTTCTTCCCTTCTACTTCTGGATTGAGACAAAATGTTCTTTCATCACCTTATATTTTCTCTATTGATGCTAAATATACTGAATTGAGTATTCATAATTCCATTTTAAGGATACCTGATTTCATGCCTCACATATATTGATGAATTATTGATTTTAGGGAGAACAGATTGATGTTCTATGAATACTCTTATGGGGTATATTTAACACTTTTTATAAAGCTTCTAATTTGAATATTAACAACTGTAAAGATGCAATCTGTTTTTCTAAATTAGTGAATTCTGATTTACATAATCAATTATGTGATTTATTGTGGCTTTTCTCTCAAAGCATTGCCTTGGAACAGCTTAGGAGCGATTATTAAAGCTTCACAACTTCTTTCCTCTAACTGAACTGTCGAATGGCTGGAAGCATAGATATTTGTCTTTGGTTGGTAGGCTTCAATTTATAATATCTTCTACATGGAGTTATATTATTATTGGCCAAGATCTATGTTGGTACCTAAAAGCATAAGAAAGAAAATTTCATCCTGGTGTAACAAGCTTCTCAACAACAATGGGTCAAATTCAAAGTTATTTTGCGATTATGGGTTTCTACTACAAAAGCCTAAACATTGTAGTGGTCTTGGATTGACTAGTAATATTAGAATGATGTGCAAACCCAACTTGTTTGGAGACATTTTAATTCTAACTCATTATGGGCCAATTGGTGCATTAATCACTATGATTTTTTATGAGTACAGCATAGATGTCGCATTTCTTTTCGGAAAGAATTATGCAGGGTGGCACACAAAATTAAGAATTCCTTGAAGTTTTATATTACAAATAACTATAATGTGCTATTCTTCTTTGACCCTTCGCTAAATTGGTCATCCCTTTTGGTTGGGAAATTTTTGGAATGCCATTTTTAAGTGGTTTCATGCGTCTCCTTTCACCAAAATAAGCGTTGTTCTTACTGGAGTTTGGAATTTTTCTGATATGGGTAGCATTCCAGATGTTTGTTTAAATGATATTCGCAATACTTCTATCATGGATAGTAATATTTCTTGTTACTGAAAGGGGTTAAACTTCTATTCTCATAAGGTTTTTATAAAGCTCCTAATGAAGATCATCCTGCAGTAAATTGGTGCAATCATGTTTGGTATAAGAGAGCTGTTAAGGCTTGGAAAATTTTGCATAATAGTTAGAAAACTTGTGAATTGTCAGAGGCACTTTGAAAAATAATATTTGTGTTCTCTGTTATAATAACTCTGAGACACATAATCATCTATTTTTTAGTGTAATTTTGCTCATTCCCGGCTTAAAAGATGTGTTCCAAATGGAAATTTCATATTACTAGGTGGGAGTATGCAACACATCTTATCTTTTGTGGATTCTTTCAAGCTAAGGATTAGTAAAAACTTTTTCTTACTTGTTGTCCATATTACAGCTTTTTATATTTGGAAAGAGAGAAATAATAGAATTTTTAGGAATTCTGTTTTGAATTTGGAAGCTTTGATTTAGGAGATACATTAGGTTATTAAGTATAAGAGTAAAATATGGACGCATAAAGTTAATATTCCTTCTTTTATAAAGTATTTTGTATAAACTTTAGCTTCTTTCTTTGCTCTTTCTTTTGAAGTTGTTTCTCCTAATGTTGATTCACTATATCTGGATGATTTTTTGAAGATGGCGCTTTATGTTTTCTTTTGGTTGGATGGTCTAGGTGTTTGAAGATTTATCTTGGCCCTGGGTATTTTATTATCAGAATTTGCTGATATTCACAGATACTTCATTTTGATCTTACTGATATGAACAGATTTTGCACTAGAGTGATGATTTCCAAAGATGGATTAAAGACTTAACTGATTTAGATTTGCTTTAAATCTTCATGATTTTAAAGATTTAATTTCTCTTCCTAGATGAAGTCCTTAAATTTTGTGGGTGGGATTTTTCTGAGATCTCCTGATTTTTTCTTAAGCTGAGAATGCTACTATGATCCTCTGAGCTCTTTCTTTTGTTGGTTTGCATTTTGGAGATACTAGGACTGCATTATTGGCTTGGCGAACTACTTTTGCTCTTTTTATTTGGAAGATTATGATTCAACCGGGATATCTTTTATTGGTTCGCATTTTGGAGTTGACTCTGCATTTTTCAATTTGTAGTTGCAATGGACTTCTCTGTATTTTTCAGTTTCGATGATGTTGATTCAGAATTATATGCTCGAATACTTGGGAGCATTTCATCGGAGGTTGAGTTTCAGCTATTATGTTGGTTTTCTGTTTTGTAACTGTTTTGTTTTACTTGTGTATGTTATTGTCTGCTTAATTTTGGTGTTAGATGGTGTCTTGTAATGGCTTTTGTTTGCAATTTCTGAAGTGTTACCTAGTATTCTTTTATTTCATACTAATAAAAGCTAGGTGAGGCACTCACCTTTTTGCAAAAAAACAAACAAACAAAGTATTTAATTACATTCATTGTTATTTAAATATTAATTTATTATTAAAGACTAATCACAATTTTACTAAAATCATTTTAACTAGTGCTCGAGTGGTTGTTTGTTTTACAATTAGAGGGATACCAAATAGTCCATCTCTAATATAGATAATTAAGTCATTACTAATCCTATCTTCACCTACATCCTTAACTAATTATATAATGCATGCATACAATCCAAAAAATATTTCTTTATCTTTTGAAATATAAGGGTTATTGAAAAAATATTCAGGAATTAAAAAATATGTTGCATGTTGGTTGCATGCAAAGGTCGATGGAATTATACTTCTCATCTTCTATCAATAATTTTAAAAATCCGCTCATACTTTATCACTGTTGGTAACACTAATAGTAATGACTTTATTAACCCTATTCATCGCGTCATATATATATAACACATTAGAGGCTTTTTTTAACATCAACCAATCCAAGGATTTTCATAGAGGTCCATCAACTTTGAGGCATATACTGCAGTGTTTCAAAAAGATTGCTTCAAAATAGTTTGTTGTGTTTGTTTTGCCTTAGCCTCTCTTGAATAAAGCCCAACACAAAGTTCTCACATGCGATTATTACAACATTAAAATGTCAAGAAAGTATTGACAAACCGAGACTTAGACGGCTTGACAAGTGATTCTTGATGTGTACATCTTTAAATAAATGAAACTACGTGAACTACAACCTCCTCAAAACATTATTTTGGTCTAAAAATATCTTTTAATTATTATAACCAAGAAATGAGTAGCACAGTAAGTTCAGTACAAACGTGGATATTATCCATCAATGACTTTCTTATAATAATATCACAAAACATTCAACAATCAACATTTAACATATTAAAAAAAATAACTAAAATCATATAAAAATGTGTTCGGTCAGTAAACTATAAGAATATTCCCAAAAGCATTATCAGCAATCACTTGAATAAAACAATACGGTTCACTCTTCTCGATAAACTTATTTAACAATTCAAACATTTTCAACCCATTCTTTGAATAAAAAATAACAACAACGGACTCTATGCATGTGATTCCTCCTGGGCAATTCGCCAATAAGTTAACCAAACATTTTTCATATGAGATATCCAACCGTCAGCCATAATAGAACAATCATACTTAAGACAATTTTCTTTATGAAATTGCAATAGTTGTTGCGTGTCGTATCTTTTTTCTCAAATATGAAACATACATCTTATGATAACTAGATAGTTTCATCCCAAGATCAAATTAGCAAAATAGTTTCTGAAATATGCATCTTATGCCGGTGCTTCAATTCAAGAATAATGAGCTTTTTTGACAGCCCTACATATAATACTAGTACTCACTTAATGGAACATTTTAACATTCAGAAAATTTCAAAGTGATTCTTTTTTATTCCAGTCTCATAATAAAGTAAGCGGTATTTATTCAAACAAGCTAGATCATGGTACACCATTTTTTATTGAGAAGGCAACCCCCATAATTTCCTCATAAAACATTTAAAATAAAATGATAGCTTCACAGGTCAAACACTAATGGCATGAGAAATTAAATAATTCTTTAAAAAGATGTTACCTATATAATAGATCCAAAATAAATGTTGTAAGTGAAAATTCAGCAAGTGAACATTTGACAAATTATAAATAATGTCAAACTAAGCAAAACAAAAGGAAAACGCATACCAACTTTTGAATCTGAACTAGAGGGAAGGAAAACAGTTGCATCAGGTTCCTGAGCGCCAAAACTAACCACTTCATAAGATTTCCCTACCAAACCAATAAAATCCATGATGAAAAGTTAGTACAGAGAAAAATTAAGAGGGCATGAGAAAGCAGCTACAGCACAAGCCTTCCATCTCACCAGATGAATTATCAAAGCTTGCAAGCTTTCCATCCCTGTGAAGTTTTAGAGAAAGCTCCTTCCCATGGAAATCAGAAGGCTGTAACTGCAGTTATACCAATCCATAAATAAATACAGGTTAAGAAAAAGGTGTGTCATGTGAGAAAAAGAAATCAGAAGCTCAAAGAAAAAAAAAACCTGATTAATTGGCCATTGAATAAGCCAAAGTTCTGTGGAATGAGATAAGGAAATTGGAAGGATTGGGACTCTATTGTCCTCATCAAAATCTGGCCCAGATTTGTACCTGAAATAAAAATTCGTGTTATAAATAAAACTAAATAAAAAAAATTAAATATAGATATAGAAGACCTAAAAATAAATGAAAATAATAATAATAATAATAACAACAAGAGGAGGCTTATTCTATAGAAGTTCATACCTGTTATCTGAATCATTATTTGCCATATGTTACTGAAAGAATGTAGTATCCTTCTGCCATAAAAGAAAAGGTAAGGACCAAAAGCAGTTTAGTAAAAAAATTGTGTAAATCAACATATACTAGAAAGTGCCCTCGGCAGAATGCAAAATAAACAGAAACGGAAAAATAAAATGAATTTTAAATGACATTTTAAGTTCATATCCAACCATACTAAAAGGTTTCCTAGTTAAGAAATATGAACCAATAAACATAGATTACCAATTTATTATTTTGAGCAATGCTGGCGTCAAGGCCTAGACAAATGTGGCCTATCATCCAGTTGAAACGTCTCAAGAACTCAGGATTCCCACTGCAGTCAATGACTGGGGCTAATGTTTGTTTAGATCCTTAAATGATGGATCAAAGCTGTTACTTCTATATATTATTGCAGAAGCAGCCTTAGAGAATTTTAGGAGCACAAATTGATAGGAATGAGGCGAGCTTAATTTGCTACTGATGCAAAACTACAAGTCTACAATCATCAAATGAGAAGAATATTCAATTACAATGATCGTTTCATTAAATGTATGCAATTTTAGACATCAAATTTGAATTTAAATTTTTTTTATATTGAATTATGATTGTAATAGGTTGAGTGGGTTGGAATTTGTATTTACATGCATATGATGATATCCTAATTCATAGGCTGATGATATCCTAATTCATAGGCTGATGATATCCCATCCTTGTGGCTGGATGAGATTTCTCTGCTTCTTGAAATTTGTGGTTCTTTCTACTTCTTCAACTAGGCTTCCTCCAGCTATAATTCTCAGCTCTCTTCAAGCAAGAATCACTACAGCAGATAGTGGCTCTTCTTGCAATATTGTAGCTTCTTAGCCTATCCTTTGGTCCTTAGTAGTGATCATGTGCAAGTGATTATTGTAACTCTAACAAACCCTTGCTTGGAAGGCTTTTTGAGGGCAAACAGTCACACTACTTATAAGCTTAATGTTTTTTTACAATTTATCCTTCAATAATTTCTTTTTTGGCGATGCCTCCCATCCTACAACGTGTTTTATAAAGTTTATAAATGGGAATCTCAAGGAATGCAAAAAAACATATTTAGCCTAGATAAATTTTGCTTTTAGATGCTCCAAACACTTTTCCTATTTATGAATTATAATCCTTAATCTAGGAGAGGCAGTCTTCTTATTCAAGCATAAATTTACATGTAAGTTATTTTTCCCTCTCTTCTCTCATCATTCATCATTATAGTATGAAAGTTTTCTTTTACAACAGTTTTTTTTTTTTTTTCTTTTCTATGCACAAAATTTCAATCACTTGTGTATCTTTCATCATCTTATCTGCAGGAAAGAAAACTTGTTTACTTGTATCATAGTCTTTCTTTCATCTAAAGTTACAAATAGTTATGTTGAAATTAACAAGATGTTCCTCGAAAAGTGTTGAATGTTTGTTGCATTAATTAATTGAATCAAAATATGCATTGCATGCTACATCTGCATTACATCCTCCAGCATGAAATCTAATTATCCAAGTTTACAGTTATATCAGATCATCTAGAGCTTGATCTTTTACTATAATGGGCAATGACTCAATAAAACAAAAAAGATGAAATTTTAATTAAACTATGATAAAAATTAACTAAAACGTAACTTAAACAAAATCAATTTAAGTATCATTTGAAACAGTTTTTAAGAACCTGTAACGAAATTAAGAATAATATTACTACATTCAATATTAAGGCATAATACTATGGTACTTCTGAATTGAATGGATAAAGTAGAATAGTTATTATTGAAAGGTGCAACATGACAATTTTTTCAAAAGATGGTATTTGTCAAAAAAAATTAATATAAATGCTAAATTAGTGTTAGAGAAATGTTGATAACAAAGTATCGTTTGTTTAGGCTTATATAAAATAGAACCTTAAAAAAACAATACTTTCATTTCTTTAATATAGAGTGAACTGCACAAACAATTTAAAAGTTCTAAACAAGAAAATCATAACATGCTTGACTATTTTATTAGATTGAGAATTTTGCCGCAAGGCTTATTTTCTTGAGATCGTTTTTGTCATCAATATTATTTCACTGAAGATCTCAGACCAAAAAATTAAGCGAGCATGAAACTACGAACTAGATTTAAGCCCCGTTTGGGGCGGTTGTTTTAGCGGGTCACGGCAGAGGGCCGCGATATTTTGTCGTCTGGGAGGGCTTTCCAATCATGGCACTGCCGCCGCACAGCGAAAAGTGGGCCGCGGAAACCCCACGGCCCGCATTTATTCACAAGATTTTTACGCGCATGCCCCTATCTCGACATCGCATTCCTATTTTATGCTCTTTCAATTTCCCGTGGAGCTTCTTCTTCTTCTGCACTAACTGAAGTGTCGGAGTTCACATTATTGCGGTATCACCTCTCCCGATATTTTTTTTGAGACATTTTCATTTCTCGTTGCTTTGCACTGTGTAGACTCGGCTGTATTTTTTTGTTTTGGTGCTTCTATAAGATGATAGTTTTGGTGTGGTGTATCTTTCC